GGGTATAGAAGACCTAACTAACATAAGTAATGGGGTTGATATAATTGGTACACACCACACTCTGAATCCTGAAAACAGAGCCACATCTTCTTTTCCCCATAAAGCGTCAAAACTCACAAAAAATGACCATAGAGTCTATCGAAAAGAAAACTTTGATCATCTATACTAATAAAAGGGTAATATGCTAATTAGACCGGATAGACTGGACGTCCTTCCTGACAAAGCCAGGTGGTGGAGGTGGCCAGCCTGCAAACTGCTGGCAGCCCCTCATCCAGGCTGGCCCTGCCCCCCAGCGGAGACCCCCACCCCGATCGGGGGTGTGGCCAGCCTGCAAACCACCCATGGCCCCTTGCCCAGGCTGGCCCTGCCCCCAGTGGGGACTCCCACCCTGATCAGGGGCACGGCTGGTCTGCAAACCCCACGGCCCCTTGCCCAGCTGGCCCTGCCCCCTAGCGGGGACTCCCCACCCTTCAGGGCAGGTCAGCTGGCCCCCACCCATGCACCAGGTCTCTATCCTATATAATAAAAGGGCAATATGCAAATTGACCGCAACGGCAGAACGACCACTGGATCAGTCACTATGAGGCTCACTGACCGCCTCTTAGTCCCTTCCCCCAGCTGTCAGGCACTGATCACCACTGGGGAACTGGGGGCGGGGCTGGCTGCGGGCAGCTGGGGAAGATGGCCCTGATCGCAGGCCAGGCCTAGGGACCATACTCGTGCACAAATTTAATACCTTGGGGGCAGATTCAATTTCATCTGTTCAGATAGTAACCTCTGCTCTTTCGTGCATAAAGGATAATATGCAAATTGACCCTAATGGCAGAACAACCAGAAATGACTGGTTTCTATGACGCGCAATGACCACCAGGGGACGGACACTCAACGCAGGAGCTGCCCCCTGGTGGTCAGTGTGCTCCCACAGAGGGAGCTCCGCTCAGCCACAAGTTGGGCTGACAGCTGCGAGTGCAGCGGCGGTGGCGGAAGCCTCTCCTACCTCCTTGGCAGCACTAAGGATGTCTGACTGCGGCTCTCCTCAGGGAGCAGGCCTAAGCTGGCAGGTGGACATCCCCTGAGGGCTCCCGAGCTGTCAGAGGGATGTCTTACTGCCAGCTTAGGCCTGATCCCCTGGGGAGCGGGCCTAAGCCAGCATGTGGACATCCTCCGAGGGGTCCCGGACTGCGAGAGGGCACAGACTGGGCTGAGGGACCCCCTGAGTGCATGAATTTTTGTGCACCGGGTCTCTAGTAATGCAGTAAAACTAGAAAAAACAAAACACAAAAGCACCTACTAACTGGGTGGAGAAATGAAACTCAACTGAGCCTTAGGTCAAAGAAGAAATCAAATCCAAATTAAAAAATATCTAGGGCAAATACTACACATTAGAACCTATAGGATATAGCTAAAGCAGTGTTGAGCATTCAAAGTCTTAATTTTTTCTTGTTTACCAGTATAAAGATTTAAGCTTTGAAATAAAAAACAAGGAAAGTAGGAAGATTTTAATAAAGATAAAGGCATAAATTAATGCATTGGAAACCAGAAAGGGGTGATTACTAATAAATCCTAAACATGGCTCTTTGGGACAAGGAGGCAAATAACCTTATTAGCTAACTAACCTAATCAGGAAAAAAAGAAAAGGAAAAAAGGGGCACAAAATACACAATTTAAGAAATAAGGGTGAGTTAATCATTTTAAAGGAATTATAAATTGTTTTGTTCAGCTTCATGCAAATAAATTTGAAAACCTGGATAAAACGAATACTTTTCTAGAGGAATATAATTTATCAAACTCATTCAATAAGCAGAACAATTAAAACATAAATTATTACAGAAGAACCAGAGAACATTATCAAAGAGCTATCCACCTACTCAAAATAAATGCACTCGCCGAGACTGTTTAATGGAAGAGCAGCCAATCTCTCAAGAACAGATAATCCATTTCCAGTTGAACTGCTACAATGCATGAAGCAGGAAAGCCTTCATTCTCTTTATGAAAGAGCATAAACTGACAGCAAAACCCACAAAACCGTTCCAACCAAAGACTCCTCTCCTCGATGAAACCGAGGCAAAACTCCTCAGTAAAGGAGCGAATGCAACCCCTGCGTAGTATACTGAAAAGACATATTCACCATAACCAAGTGGGATTCAACGAGGAATGCAAGGATGGCTCAATATTAAGAAATCTCTATCATTACACATATGAATCGATCAAAGGAAATACCCATGTGATCGTCTTCATAGATTTGGTAAACTTCAACTTGCATTCTTGATTTTAAAATTCTTAATAAAACAAGAATAGATGGACACATATTTAACATGACATCTACCCCAATCCAGCATTTCGCTCATGGAGAAATCTTAGGTAGCGTCTCGTTTTTTAATGAGAAATGGGACAAAGCAAGAATGTCCATTGTGACCATTACTATTTTTCATTATTCCAGGGATAGTAGCCAACCCTATTATATAAGACAAAGAAATTAAGGTATAAAATTTCCAAAGTAGGAAGTTAAATTATCATTTGCAAATGATATAACTGGAAAACCTGAGACTAAATTAAAAACCCATTATAAACAAAAGATTTCAGTAAGGTGGCAGGAGTCAACAGCCTTTCTATAAATAACCTCCATTTACGAAAGGAAAGACTTGACAAAAAAGGTTACCTATCCAGAAATAAACTAAAATAATGTGTAAGATCTACACGAAGCAAATAGTAAAACATTCCCAAGGGACGCACAGGGAAGTTAGAACGCACAGAAAGGTATAGATCATGCTCTTGGAGGGGAAGACATCATCCTAACAATGCCATTTCTTCCTACACGAATTTATAAATTCAATGCAGTCCCAGTAAAAACACAAACAGGATTTTTGTTCTTACCTGGATAAACTGACTCCATAGTTCAGACAGAGAAATAAAGAGAGCAGCCCAGGAAATTCCACGTGGGAGGATGGTGAAGAGAGGAATAGCTCGCATCAGCAAGTGTTAAAGTGTGTTACGCTCCAGCTACAACATGGCTGAACCTCGCAAACGTTTTGCTAAATGAAAGACGTGAGTCACAAAAGGCCACATAATGTGCGATTCCCTCCTTTCATACCCATAATGTATGAAAGCCCAGAAGAGGAGGTCTACAGAGAAGGAAGGCGGGCGGGTCAGGGAGTGACTGCTCATGGGTAAGACGGGTTTCTTCTCGAAGTGACAAAATGCTCTACAATGGACTGCGGTGAAGGTTGCAACATTCTGTAAACATACTGAAAGCCATCACTGTGTCTCCTTCAAATGGGTGGATTGTGTCGTAGGTGAATTACACCCCAATAAAGATGCTAAGAAATGTAACATGTATTATAACGCCACAATAATTAAGATAGCATTGCACCGATGCTGATTAACTTCGGATCCACATCTCGAACTTCCCACCAGAGAAATTACAAAACACTCAGATATCATCTATTTAAAAAATTAAACCATAAAAACACCTAGAAAAACCTGGGGGAGCTGCTTTAAAAGAAGGAAATCCCCATGTCGGCATGAGGAAGGACACTTCAAGTATGACACACGGTCCAAAGGCTATGGAAGCAGAAGGAAATGACGACCGATTCCACTCCACAGAGAAAATCCCTGGTGGGATCACAGGCAAATGAGAAATCGGGGAAAAACCTGCGATGCGTGTGACACACAGAGGTCCACAGCTACAGCAACAGGAAGAATGGACTGGACAGATCAGACAGGCAGCAAAGTTACCTGTGCACATGCCTCTGACCGGTGTGTCCGCTCCTAGAAATTTACCCGTGGTTTCCCCCTTGTGGCGCACACCCATTGCACTGTCTGTAAGGGCAGCAGGCTGGGTACAGTGCTATGAAGCGGCTGGTCAGGTGAACTAGGGACCATCCTTGCGCTGGGAAACTCTATGGCAAGAGGATGAGGAGGCTCTGTAAGTGCTGACATGTAGGCCGTGTCGCCAAGTGAGAGAGTGAGGTGCAGGTCAGCGTGTAAACGTGTGTACGCACACGTCTGCGGGGACGTGCACAGCTCTGGGAGGGACACACGAGAGCTGACAGCACGGGCTGCCTCTGGCAGGAGGCGGCGGGCGGTGTGGGGAAAGGGAGGTTTTGTCTGTACAGCCCTTCATCCCTTTTGAATATTGGACCCCAAGAACGTATGATCTAAAGATAAACACATTAAACAAGAAAAAAGCATCAGTGTAAGCACAATGATAAGTGGCAGCTGAGCCCGTGCTGTGGGAGAGGGGACAGGGAGGGTAGGGACTGGAGAACTGGAGGTGTGTCCCCTTTAAGCGGCGACGGCTCAGTTCTAACCAATAGTCCAGGAACACAGGCCTCTGTCACCGGATCCTCTGATTTTTTCCCATGGGACACTGGAAGTCCATATTTTTATTCAAATCTCCCTGTTTTTAAATGTTTCCAAATACTTCAAAACGAAAACAAACACCCGGCCTAGGGCGGCCAAAATCACCATCTCAGGGCGGATCCTTGGCCAGGTGGTCAAGGAGGACAGACGCCTGGGGGCTCCCAGTCCAGCCCCGACCCAACACTGAGAAGCAAGGCCCCGAGGGGTAAGGACGCGCGGAGGTCTGGGGCCCATCAGGACAACTGTCCACATTATCCCGGTGCCTGCGAAGCAGGAGTGTGATGGTGGCGACACAGACACGGCACAGGCAGCGTCTCAGGAGGGGCTGGGTGGGCCACGGCGCTGGTAGTGGTCAGCGAAGGCTGCTAGGAAGTGGCCAGACAAAAGGTGCCACCGGTAGGGAGGGACCCCATGAGGCAGCACAGCCGGGCAAAGGCCTCGCGGAACACGGAGAGTTCAAGACAGGGTCGGGGAGGGTGGGCGTGCTGGGGTGGGGGCACTTCTGCCCAGCTGCTGCCCTGCAAAGGCCCGAGGTGGGAATAGCTTGCGTGTCCAAGAACAGAAAGAGCCCTGTGGACTCAGAGTGGGCAGGAGGGGGGTGCGGGGGGCGGGGCGTGCAGGGCGAGGGTGGCACTCACACTTGCGCCGCTCCAGGCTCTTGCTCGGGCAGGCCAGGTGCTGACCCGGGGGGTTCTGGGTCCTCTGCAGACAGGCCAGCATGGCTGAGCTGGGGCCGGTGCGCTCTCGGTAGCAGGGTCCCTGCGAGAGGAAGGAGGTGCGTCACACACACACACACACACACACACACACACACACACACACACACACGCTGCTCCATGCCCGCAGCTCCCACTCCCTCAGCGGGAGTCCTGCCCACAGCCTCCCTGCCCCGAACACCAGACCCTCACAGCAGACCGCTCATCCTCCGCAGACAGACAGGGTGAGGCCCAGCAGGAAGGAAGGGGCCAGGTCTCCTGAGGGATGACTCCCCCGCGAGGGGCCAGAGCTGACCACGCAGCCCTGCCCCAGCCCTGCTCAGAGGGCGGTCACCGCCTCCAGGGTCCTCACCTCGCTCCCCTCCTCCCTCCGCAGGCTGTCCCCCCAGCTCCTGGCCAACCACCTGTGGGCGGAGCTGTGCGCACCCCGCTGCAGCTCACCAGGGGCAAGGACCCCATCTGCCATCTCTGGAACCGCAGGGCGGGGTGCCAGGAGCTGCCAGTGAGCACACGGGGTTCTAGGTGACCGAAGGTGGCCAGCCCGGTCTGGGGTGCTCTCACCACACCCGCGGGCAATGTCCAGGACGGCGTCCCTGGGAGAGTGAGGGAGGCTCCGGCCCTGAGTGCTGGGTCCGGCCTTAGTCTCAGCCCGAACCCTGAGCCCAGGCGCCGAGCAGCTCCCTACCCCAACGGAGAGGGAGGCCCCAGGGTAGCCCTGCAGAGGTCTCCATAGGACGCAGCTCACCCAGTCGGATGCCCAGCGCTCACATGGAAACACGCATCTTTTCTCCACAAAATCCACTTTCCTGAGAACCCAGAGTCCCTGAGGAGCGAGATGACACAGGCAGGGAGGCCACGGGGAAGGGTGGGGGTTCCCTGCCAGGCCCCCCACCTCCTCTCTTCGCAGTGTGAGCTGAGCCCTGGGCACCCCAGTGTCCCACCAGCTCCTAATCCCCGCCCCCCTACACACACACACACACACACAAACACACACACACACACACACACACACACACACGACCTGAGTCTCAAGCAGCCAAGCTGGGCCAACTCAATCCTCATGCTGGTTTTTAAACAAAAAAGAAAGAGAGTGTGTGTGTGTGGGGGGGGTATTTAAGGGGAAGAAAAGGAAGCTACTTAATACTAAACAGGTGTCTGGAGCCCAAAATTCTGCCGCTTTCTTCTAATAATGAAGTATTCATGAGGAAAAGCCTCTTTCACTGCTTTCTTAAGACACTAATTTCACAACAAGCTCCTTGTTACTGCGCAATTATTCCAACCCCACTTCCCGGGACGCCGCAGCCCGTCTGTCCGGCCTCCCGTAAATGAAAGACAATCACTAACCACCTTTCATTATGCTCTCTTTTACTTTCAGCAAAGGTGCCCTGAAAGAAATGATTTACACTGAAAGGGACTTTTATTCAGTTTCAAAACCAATTTTCTCCTATTACTGTCTAAAAAAAAGGGG